GTCCCAGCACAGGCCACTGCTAGATTTGAGTCGGGCAGGGAGGAGGTGGTAATGAGGGTGAAGAAATCTGAGCAGACGGGGGCCAGCAATATAGCTCAGGGAGCATGCACCTGCCTGGCAAGTGCAAGGTCCTGAGTTCAATTCCTGGCGTAAAAAAAGAAAAAAATTAGGCAGACAGACACTTGTAGCTTCAAAGCCTGCCCTAGCATCTGCTAGTCAAGACTTCCTATAAATTTATTTATTTATTTATTTTTCCATAATTTTATTGAGAAACAAATAGCAATGAGACAGTTTCAAATCAAATTGGTAGGACAGTTTCAATAATTAACACATTGCATACATTCTTCCTAGTGGTTAACTGCTGTACAAGATGCGGACATGATATCCTATTTACAAACACTATTAGAACAAATCCCTCTATTCATTAAGAGAATGTAACTATATATCTATCCTAACCACTTTGAATACACAGATACAAAATGGACATTCATCTGTATCCCCTTTTTTTGTTAAGTTCCGTTATTTGAATATTATAGGTGTGTAAACTCAGCAAAATATTCTAAAAGAGTCTAGTATCCCATAATAGTTTTGGGTCTTCCGCTTGACTGGCAATGTCAGAAATTGTTGACCTGAGTCCCCTACAGCTCAACACCATGGCTTTACTTCTTATATTTCATTTTTATACTTTTCTGCTGGATGGTTAAGACCAAGGTAAAGCAGGACCCATGCAACAAGAGTAAGACTTCCTATAAATTTAGATATTCACCAATTCTACTTTTATAGGTGGAGGGGATTGGCTAGGTAGCACTCCTGGATAGGTAAACTAATTTCCTATTTCTTCAATGTTTTTGAGAAGATCCAGGCTCATCAGGTGTTACTCACATGTCCCCTGGGCCCCTGGGCATTGGTTTTGTTTGACAAGTAGAAAACTTCGCTTGCATGTTTGACAGCAGATGCTCATAGGAGCTGATGGGTGTTCATTTGTCAGAGCAAAGGATAACAAACTAAATCACACTCTTCATGGAAGTAACATTGAAGTAAACACATTTCTTTACAATACGTGTTTGAACACTGTGATTTGTGAGAATTCACTCTCAAAGTGGTTGCACAATATACTGAGGACATTGCAACTATTTTGAAGACAACATTATGCAATACAGCAACTATTGTCAAATTCCTAATGTTTTGTTTGGTGAAGTTCTATATAGTTTCTAATGTTTTGTTTTGTTTTTCTTTGCTATTTTGTATTCTCTTTAGATAATAAAAAATTATTTTAACATAAAAAAGAAAAAATATATATATTGAGGATATAACATAACCACCACAGATCTGATATATATATATATATATATATATATATATATATCCCTTGGGTTTAAGTTTCCCAAAATACCTGTTCCATGATATGCCAAAATGTTTGATATTTAGACAGATAGGGTAAACCAAACTGCATATATTGCAGGTTAATAATTAGCTTTTCTTCTGGAGGGTTAACAACCTAAGGTAGCAGATCAAAATTGGAGAAGAAGAAGGGCTGCATGGTTAGCCAACATTTTGGCCCTAGCCTTTCAAGGTCACTGAAGACTCAGGACATAGGAGAACCTGTATTGTGACAACATGTAACTCAGTTGTGCTCCAAATTTTCTGATCAAGAAGATTATGAAGCCACAGAGGAATGTGTTTGATGATGTAAAGTGAGCCTGGGGAGAGTCACAGGGAGAGAAAAAATATTTTCTCAAGCTTTCACAGAGAGCAAATTGGTCAAGCAATGGCTGTGACTCATCCTCATGTCAGACACTGACAAAGGATGTACAAAGGGCGGTACAGGGCTACAGGATAAATCCTGAGGGTACTTGGCTGACCTTATCAGATACAAAAGTTACATGTCTTGTTATATAGGTCTTGCTATACCTTGGTCTTAACCATCCAGCAGAAAAGTATAAAAACAAGATATATAAAGTAAAGACATATTAATATGATGAGCTGTAAAAGGCTCAAGTCAATAACTTCTGAGGATAACCCACTAATATTATAGACTGCTAGACAGTGTTAGATTATTTAGTTGAATTCAAACACCTATAGTATTTAGATGCCAATAGAATATTCACCTCTGACAGGACAAAAAAAAGATACAAAGGAAAGATAATTTTGTATTTATATATACAAAATAGTTAGGATAAATTTACAGTTACTTTCGCTTAATTCAATGAGAAGAAAGAGGTGTACTAACAGTGTTTGGACAGAATATCCTCTCTGCTTCTTGTACTATGGATAACCACTAAGAAGATAACAATGTACAGTGTATTGATTATCAAAACTGTCCTATTAATCAGCTATGAAACTGTCTCATTCATATTTATTTCTCAATAAAAATAAAAAAAATTAAGTTTCCCAGCAGTGACAAAACTGAAGCCCCAATCAATAGATTCACATACATACCTTTTTTAGCATTATTAGGAAATAGAAACACTCTGTACTGTGTCCTTTTGTGTAGGAAATAACCCTAGTTGCTTATTTTATTTTATTTATTTTTTATGTATTTAGTGCAGGCTCTACAAAGTCTCATTACACACATCAGACTCACAGTGATCCTTCTCTTTTCAGTCTCCCACGTACTGGGATTATAGGCAGGCACCACCACACCCAGTCTCAATTACTGTCTCAGCAGGCCCTAGGGGTGGGGCTGGCAAGGCAAGCCCCTATGTCTGCCTAAGCAGGCTCTTTAATCTGTTGAGCTATCTGGCCGGCCCTAGTTGTTTATTTTAAATAACATGTCATTTCTTTGTATTTAAAACTATGTGGAGTGATCATTTAGCCTTCCAAATAAAATTTAACAAAATATGATAGTCACTGACTAATATTACATGCATATGTGCATATGTGTGTGAAAACAATTTTTTTTTTTTAAATTCTGAGCCTCAATAATCATTTGTAGCAAACCTTTGTTTCTTTCCTGAGCATTTCTACTGCTAGTTGTAGGTCCATTTCCACAGAGAGCTGCTGTCTGGACTAAGAGGACCAAACCCCCCTGAGCTATTCTTTTCTCAAGGAAGGGGTACAGAGAGGACCCCCCAAATTTGCTGTCAGGCAGAAACTGGTAACTAAGCTATTTAAGTATTTTTTAAACTGTCCATATAAGCAACAAATCATCAGAGAGTGTTTGTTTCACTCTGCAGCTCCATCCTTCAGAGCAACTCACAGCTTGCAATCTTTTTGGTCCTGCATGCCGCTCTTGGGTGGATGAGACACTTGCTTCGTGACGCAGTCTCTCAGTTTGTTTCTGCAGGGTGACACATGCCAGTACCTGCCTTACAGAATGAGTGCTTCACAGACGTACAGCAAGCTGCGACAGCACTGAGTGTGCTTCCTTGGATCGGGCCCAGCATCTCTTCCTCCCTGGGCAGATGCGTGAGATATACTACTCAGTGAATATAAATATGCTCTTTGTTTCACAGGGTAAAATTGTTTTAAACCGTTTCCTCTGGTGGAAACAAGTCTTTGATTTATAGAGTAGTAACTTCCTTTTGTTCATCTGAGAGATTCAGGAGGCAAGCGTACCACTTAGATTCCTAGCTGTCTGTAGAGAAAATGGAATTGCAGCGCTCTGCAGAAGACAAATGGAATTCCCACCTCCTTCTGCCCTGGGTCAGTGGGAGGCCACCTGGTGGCCTTTCCAGGAGGGGTGGTGGCCCATGTGTCCTCAAGACTACCCCTGCACCAGCCAACTACGGAACTTGCTTCCAAATGGCCTGAGATGATGCTGGCCAGGAGCTCTGTTCGGAGTGTGGGGCACGGAGGTCTCTGTTCAGTAGGGCAAGGACCACAGAGTTCACCTCTGAAGCAGCACCACCAGTCTGCACGATGCACGGAGGAGTATGGACAGAGGTGGCAGCCAGCCTTGACTCCTGTGTGTGTTAAGGTCGTGTTGGCACACACGGGCACGCACACACAGTGGGAGTGCGCTTTAAGGCCCTCCAGTGTAAGGGTTTTCTTGCACTTGCCTCTGCGAGGCCCTCCCACATGACAGTGAATGAAAAACACAGACATCATAAATGTAGTTCGTGGCCACTGCCCTGTAAGCTGTGCTCCGCACCTCAGAGACTGTGACAACCACCACCCTATTTTACAGAAGAGGAAACTGAGTCACACAGGTTCTCTAATTCCCTGAGGAAGGAAAGAGCAGAGGCCCCATTTGCACCTGGCTCCGAGTCCTTGCCTTCCTGCCGCATGAGTTCTGCACCTTTCTTCCTAACTTTGCGTGGAAGTGTGGCACGAGACAAAGCTGCCACCCAGCAGTCTGAGCACAAAGAGAAGTAGCGCCCGTTCAGGCCAGGGAAGGACTCGGAACCACCCAAAGGGACCCCAGTATTCAGCTGCTGGATACCAGTGCCAGTCCTGGAAACAGCCCCCAGGACCAGGCAGGACAGGAAAGAGAGACCCAGGCTCTGCACCCCCAAGCTGGTCACAGCCTGGAGGCAGAGGGACTGGGAAGCTCAGCCGGGGCACAATTCACGCAGGGATGGTAGACGCTCTTGGCTGCTGAACACAGTCCGGCTGCAGTGAGGCCTTTGGAATGGGAGATGGGGCTGCAACCCTTCCAGAGAGCTTCTGGAAGCTTCTGCAGGGGACAGCAAAGCGAGGTGGACCCCTCTGGCAGCTCCTGGGAGCTGTGACTTGTGCTTCCCTAAAGGGACATACCACAGAATGCAGCACTCTCGGTATCTGCTCTCTCTCCGCCCTTCATTGTGCTGTAAAGATAACAAGAATAACTCATTTAGATAACAAGAATAATTCATTCCAAGTGCACTCCCGCGCCTCCCTTAAGGATTCTGCACTTTTCCCCTTACTCAAGGGCTGATAATAAATCACCCTGCTACTAAACACAGTCCCGCGCTAAAGCACTTGGCTCCCCTGACCTCCCCATTAATTATTTTCAGTGCGCCCACAGCAGCTTTCAGCCTCCCCGCCCTTCCTAGGAATCTGCTGCCCCAAGGCAAGATTCTGGCCTGCTGCCTGCTCCAGGGCGAGCCCCTCCACAGGTTGCTGGCCTAAAAGTGCTCTCAGGTGACCTGCTGGACCTCCACATCTGCTTGGCAGCCTCCTAGCACCGCAGATCTCCCCCGCAGTGATGTTTCCGAGATGGCATTACAATTCCTGCAAAAACTGAAAGTGAAATGAGGCAGACGATTGAGCAACCAAAGAAGGGAAATCGCCAACAGTGACCCGGGGGCAGAGCAGGGCAGAGATGCCCAGGGGTAGAAAGAGGAAAGGCCGGAGCGCGCTCCTGCCCCCGGGGGGCCGAGCCGGACGCTGCCCGGGGGTCAGTCAGGGACCAGGTCGCCAGGGCCACCGATACAGGAAATGATCCCGGTCCTGCGGTCGCGCACTCCGAGGCCCCGACCTTGCAAGTGTGCGTCGTGGAATGGATGAGTCCGCGGAGCGGTTCCGCCTCGCTTTCCGTCCTGGGCGAGCAGGAGAAATGAAAGCGGCGCGGAAGAAAAGGGACACGACGTTGCTGGCCGCGACCCTGCTGCTGGCCTTGCTGTCGGGCGGCCTCACGCTGCTGTCCTTCTGCCGAGTGGCCGCACTGCAGGCGGACCTGGAGGGCCTCCGCGCGCAGCTGCAGGGCACCCTGGCTGCTCCCGGGGCCCCGACCCCCGAGGTGAGTGCGCGGCGGGGCTGTGGTCGGCTCCCTAACCCCGGGTAATGGCTTTCTCTGTTGCCAGGGGCTCCCTGCACCCGCGTCCCCGGCAGGAAGCGACTCCAGGCGGAGCAGCAGGCGTACGCGCGCCCTGGAGGCTCCGGAGGACACAGGTGAGTTCCGGCAGTGGGGACAGCAGGCGGCACCGAGGTCCGCGGACAGGTGGACACGGGATGCGGGCTGGACTGGGGTGCTGCACCCCAAAGCATCCTCGTCCCCGCGGAAAGCATTTGGGTCCCCAGTCCCCAGGAAGCAAGGCCCAGCCACCTGCGCCACAGAGTCGGGGCTCCGCCCCACAGAGGCGCAGGGAAGATGGCTCGGGCGCCCTGGAGCTGTGTGCTGTTCGTGTCCTTATAAAAAGTTATTGTGTACGCACAGAGACGGATGTTAAAGCTTTCTCCAGTGCGTGCTTTTCTAAAAGCTTCCGTGCGTCACCTTGGCACTAAAGTCATCTTTAGTGACTTCGGCTTGGGGCGCGCTGCACCCCATTCAGTAGAATTGTAGTCAGCAGAGCGGAGCGCAGCGGTCCCTTCTCGTTCTTTAGCGTCAAGGTGAAAACAGGGTATTTGGGCTGTGCACAGGAGACTGCGCTGGAGCAAGTCCTTGCGCGCGTACTGGATCTCTTTCGTGTGGAAGATCGGTTCTGAGCGCCGGAGTGTGCAGGACGGACCCGGGCGGGGTTTCACACTCACTGTTCCAAGTGAGCGTCAGGTGGCGCTGAAGTGCCCAGAACCACTCACGTGTTTGTCACCCTTCTTTCTTCTTTTTAAAATTTTTATTAGTGATGTTTGCAGTGCTCAAGGACTCGAGATTAGCTGGGGCGCGCACCACGTGAGGGGCTCCGTGCGGCTTACTTTCCTCCCTCCCTCGCTCTCGTTCCAGGTCCCTTTTCACAAGAGTCTCTCTGTCTCTCTGACTCTGTCTACCTGTTCTCTCTCTCTCTCTCTCTCTCTCTCTCTCTCTCTCTCTCTCTCTCCCTCCTTCCCTTTCTCCCTCCCTCCTTCCCTCTTGTTCTTTATTCCTACTGTGATATTTTTTTCGCTCTATATGCCTTATTTATGAAAGATTCTCTTAATTCAAAAATTGAATTTTTGTGTCTGATTAGTGCATCTTTGGACCATTTATGAAGAACAACTGGGTTTAGATATTTTCAACTAAGACACGCCCACATTTTGCTTTAATATTTCAATTGCTTTTATCTTTTGTGTTTTATCATCTATTCATCTGCTAGTTGAACATAACCTATGGATGTAGCATATAGCCTACGGATGTTTCTGTTCTCACTTTTAAAATAAGCATTTCATCTTTTTTTTATTTTATTGAGAAACAAACATCAATGAGAAAGTTTCAAAGCTGATTAATAGGACAGTTTCAATAATTAATACACTGTATATTGTTGTCTTCTTAGTGATTAACCATAGTACAAGAAGCAGACAGGATATAAAGTAGTACTATTAACCATAGTACAAGAAGCAGACAGGATATCCTGTCTAAACACTATTAGTACAAATCTTTCTTCTCATTGAGTTAAGCAAAAGAAACTGTATATCTATCCTAACTATTTTGTATATATATAAATACAAAATGATTTTTCCTTTGTATCCCCCCTTTTTTTTTGTTTAGTCCTGTCAGAGGTGGGTATTCTATTGGCATCTGAATACTATAGGTGCTTGAATTCAGCAAAACAATCCAACACTGTCTAGCAGTCTGTAATAGTAGTGGGTTATCCTCAGAAGTTATTAACTTGAGCCTTTTACAGCTCATCATGTTAACATGGCTTTACTTTATTTTTTTTTTAATTTTTAATTTATTTTTGAGTGTGTGTGTGTGTCCAGCTCAGCCCACCAGGGGGCAGGGCTGGCTGGCATGTGCTGCTGGGGGATTGAACCGCCGTCCCTGTAGGTGCTTTAGACCACTGAGCCATCTCACCAGCCCTGGCTTTACTTTATATACCTCATTTTTATACTTTTCTGCTGTATGGTTAAGACCAAGATAAAGCAAGACCTATATAAAAGAAATGTAACTTTTGTATCTGAAAAGGTCAGTCAAGTACCCTCAGGATTTATCCTGAAACCCTGTACCGCAGTTTGTAGATCCTTAGTCAGTGTCAGCCATGTGGATGAGTCATGGCCATTGCTTGACCAATTCGCTCTCTATGAAAGCTTGGAGAGAATGTTTTCTCTCCATGTGACACTCCTTAGGCACATTATACATCATCGATCACATTCCTCTGTGGCTCCATAATCTCCTTGATCAGAAAAATTTGGGGCACAACTGAGTTATATTCACCTATTTTTAAATAATTCTTGTACTTGTGCTAAATTGTTATCAATTTTAACATGGGTATGCTTTTGGTCCTAATAGAGCATGTGATAATTTTGTACATCTCTTGTTTCTGAGAAATTTTATATTCAATATAAATTCCATATTGTGGAAAGTCTGAGGTAAATAGAACAAGGAACATATTGCCATACTACTTCCAAAATGAATTATAAATGATGCATTAAACGCCTGCTTAGGCAGAGAGCAGGGGCTGGGGTTCAAATCTCGGCATCATAAGCCATGCTACCACCATCTCCCTGCTAACCCTCCCCGTGGGGGCATGCCGAGACCACTATTGAGAATGGGTGTGGAGGGGCATGACTGTAATCCCAGCATTTGGGAGGCTGAAAACAGGAGGATCACTATGAATTCGATCTACTTAGTGAGACCCTGTAGACCCTGTACTAAGTACATAAAAATATAAATAAATAAATGATGAACTAAAATGTGGTGTATTAGATCTCCACATTCTTCCTAGCATTTTGTCTTTAAAAATTTATATTTTTATAAAGAACTCCAAAACTATTAACTCTCGCAAAATGAACACTATTCCAATATATGCACACCCACATTTACAGCAGGACAGTTTGTAATAGCTAAATCTTGGAAAGGACCCAAATACCCATCGACCAAGGAATGGAGAAAAGAGATGCAGTTTCTTTCATGTAGCCCAGTACTCCTCAGTCATAAAGAAGGATGAAGTTGAGCATCTCTGTGTGAAGATGCACCTTGAGACCACGCTCTTACATGAACTACTTTGGGCACACATGTGTAAATAGCACATCATTTCTCTGGCGTGAGATACAGAATATGTAAATAAGGACCAGAATGTGTAACAGGTATTGTGAAATGAGAAGAAATTGTTCAAAAGAAAAGGGAACTGGAGAGTGGGAGGGGAAGGAAGGGAAAAGGGGAAAAAAAGGCCATGCTCCTAAGTAAAATAAACTTGGCACATGTGTTCAAATCTCACATTGGTTCTCTGGTGTGAGAAATTGTAAGGGCCAACAAGGACTAGAAGGTGGTAGATCCTGGGCACTAGGAAGAGGACACTCAAATGCAGAGGGGCGCAAGGGAAGGGAGGGTGGGAAGGAAAGAAGGGAAAGAGAGAAGGCAGGAGACGGGAGGAAAGGAAAACACAGCTTTTGTAAATAAGAAGGTGAAGGGGGGGAGGGAAAAGAGGAGAGACTGGCGGGAAGAAGATCCAAAATATATCACATACAGGTACATGTTCCCTCTGATGAATGTGATCATTGTGTGTGTGTGTGTGTGTGTGTGTGTGTGTGTGTGTGTGTATGTATCTATCTATCTATCTATCTATAATTAAAATTTAAAATGTAAGTAAAAAGGACAATACCTTGAGATGAATTTAAGGAAATGAGATAATAATTTATGGAAATAAATTGCTTGAAAACAGACAAAACAAAGCAAAAAATGAGCCAATGAGGAAAGGGACAAATGAATGGAATAGACACTTCTCTAAAGAAACACAAGAGGCCAATGGTTACATGAAGAAACATTTACCACCCTTAGTCATTACGGATTATGGTTTGTGTCTAGATGTCCCCCCAAAACCTCATGCAGTCATTGGGGTGGGGTCCGAGAGTTAGGGGTTAATTCCTGATCCAAGGCTGGGATTCTGGGTCTGAGTGCTGCTGGGACTGTGGGTGTGAGTGCTACTCCTGGCCTGGGGCCGAGAGCCTGAAGGCAATAGAAGGAAGGAGGGAGGCTGCTTCTGCCTTGCTGCTGGTGCTCCTCCCTTCTGCTCTCTGCTGTTTTCCACCACCATGAGCTGCTGCCCTCTGCCACGTGCCAGGCTGCCTTGGAGCCATCTGAGCGTGGACTGAAACCTCCACAAACTGTGAGCTAAATCAATCCTTTCCTTAATTTGGGGTGTCGGGTTTTTGTCCCAGCACAAGGAAGAAGTAACTGAGACATTAGAGAACTGCAAATCATGATGCCTGTGCTTCAACCTTGCCCCAGCCAGGGTGGCTACCATCAAGAGCACAAAGAGAATGAGTTCTGGTTAGGACTGGGGAAAAGGATCTCTTCTACGCTGCTTGTGGGAGGATAAACTAGTACAACCACTGTGAAAATCAGCAGAGCAAGTCCTTGGAAAATCAGACACACGAACTGCACTTGGCCCAGCTATGCCTGGGTGTACCCGGGGTATATTCTAGGGAGTCAACGACATCATCCTACAGTGATCCATGCCTACCTGTGTCCATGGCAGCTGAGCTCTTCACAGTAGCTTAGCTCTGATAATAGCAGCCTGGGTGACTACCAATAAATAGATAAATACAGACAATGTTCATGTGTAGGATGATCTATCTATCTATCTATCTATCTATCTATCTATCTATCTATCTGTATATATATAAGTTTTTTCAGCCATGAAAAAACTGAAATCATGGCATGCTCAAGAAAGTGTGTGGACGTTGAGCCCATAGCCCTGTGTGGAGTATGTCAGGCACAGAAAGCTAAATACCGCACGGTTTCCCTAGTCTGAGAAAGTTTACCTGAGCAGTGGGTAAAATAAAGGAGAAAAGATAGGAAACAAGAAGGCAGCCATCCTGGAAATGAGGAGGAAGGGGGAGGGGTCAGGGCCTGTTGCACACCTGCGCTCATTCCCTGAAGTGACTATTGCTATTTTATTTTGCAAGAATACACTAGCAGAAAAATTTCTTTTATTTGGTTTTGTAGCTATAAAAATAGCATCCAAAATTTAATATGTTGCTTGTTTTTACCTGCTAATGAACATCTTCATCAGCATTTTGATTGATTACTTCTAAGT